TGTCGAACTCTATTATCCTTCCGGCGTCTAAAACCAACACTCGATCCGAATCTATGATTGTATTCAGTCTGTGGGCTATTGTAATGACAGTACAATCGGCAAAGTTTTCTCTAATAGTCCGTTGAATCAGTGAATCGGTCTTATGGTCCACATTAGCGGTCGCCTCGTCTAACACTAGTATACGGTTTCGTCTGAGTATAGCTCTCGCCAAACATATCAGTTGTCTTTGACCGACACTCAGATTACCCCCACTTTCAGACAACTGGTAGTCCAGACGTCCGGGCATTTCGTTCACAGCCTCTTTCAGCTGAACCTCTTCTAACACATCCCACAACTTGTCCTCCGAGTGCTCGTCAAATGGATCCAAATTCTTGCGCAAAGAGCCAATGAAAGCAATCGGATCCTGAGGTATAATTGACATCTTTTTGCGCAAATCGTGAAGACCTATACTCTTGCAGTCAATGCCGTCAATAATGATATTGCCTTCGCATTCATGCATACGGAAGAGTGCGGACAATATAGAGCTCTTTCCGGCACCCGTTCGGCCAACGACTCCCACTTTCTCTCCGCCTCTGATCACACAATTCAGACCAATTAGTGTCGGTTTTGGAGAGTTTTCATAAGTGAGGTAAACGTCTTTGAGTTGGATGTGTCCCTCTTGTGGCCAATCGAGCGCTGGTTTTGTGACGCTTTCGAGTTCTGCTTCCGATTCAAGCTTTGAATACTCGAGAATCCNCCAATCGAGCGCTGGTTTTGTGACGCTTTCGAGTTCTGCTTCCGATTCAAGCTTTGAATACTCGAGAATCCTCTCCACAGAAGTCATCTGATTCTCGACTTCAGCCGATTGTCTGACTCCCCACTGAGTCATTCCTGTTAAGCCCAAAGCCATTGTAAACGCCAGACCAGCGCTGCCTCCGAGTGTGTCTAACAATAAAAATTATCCACATTAAAGAAACTTAATATAAAGTAATATACAGTATAGTTAAGTAAATATTGATAATATGCGAAGAATAATCACCTCCTGGTATTAACATTAGAAATAATGCCACACAGAATATATAGATCATACAAACCCAGTCCATCATTATTCCTGTCAATAATAATGAGATTAAGTTTATATGAATATATAATATAACAAAGAGTTATACCGAGAGCTCTGGAGGCACAGTAGCACATGACATATGTTGCCGTGTGGTCGTTCTGGTACCTGAAATATTGCTGTTTAAACATTTCCTGAGCCCTGAACGCCCTGATTGTGGCCAAACCATTGAGTGTTGTAGTCATGTGGTTATACATTGGACTTCTGGCTATTATTTTGGTGAGATTTGGTTTTAAACATATTATTTATGTAATTAAACGCATTTATTAACTAAATCCAAACCTGTGTTTTCAAATCTCTTCAGATCTCTTCCCGTCTTAATATAAATCCAACGAATTTGTAAAATAAGAAAAACCATAAGAATTGCCGGAAATATTAAATACCAGTTGACTAACGCCTAGTTCGACAGACCTTTCATTCTCCTGCAGAACAACACCGGAATGTTCTATAAGTTAGTCAAACAAACGGGTCTTTCAATGGCTAACGATCTGATGAGAGCCGCCAAAGAGGCCTACGATTTGAAACCAAATCATTCAGTCGAAGACAGTATTAAAGACAACATTAGAATATGTTAACCATATATAGTATTATTCAAAATAATGTTACCATGAAATATTTTCATTTTCATCTATTTGTATTATATCATGTGCTCATTAATTGTTTAAATTAATTTTATATCATGTTAAATATAATGATTTATTTTAATTATATACTAGCTTTATTAATATTTATAATATTCTTATATAATATAAGTTATACTTAATTTATAATGTAATTGAATTTTTATTTACAATATTATTATACTAATAAAACCGATTGATTTAACGGTACACTACTGCTAAAATGATTATTATACGGACACATATACGAGTACTAACCCCATATCTATCCAATTATGTTTAGTTATCAATATAACAAACTGTATAACAACAGTAACCTATACTTAAAATGAACTTCATATTGACTTTAATATTTTTATCTAGATTTCTAGATTTTTATGATAATTTCGTTTAGACATCGTTTGATTTTATTATTCTGTAGAACTCATTGAAACAATTTATTTCACTCACGATTTGCTCATTAATAACACAAACATCTATTAAGATTAATAATATAGCACTTAAATGTGATAACAGTTTATTTGATATCTGATGTTTATTAGTTTTTTTAATTATGACAATTATATTGTACTATCAATACATTAATAAATAAAAAAAATTATTTTTATAATATTTTTTCCATCATTGAATTGTAAGTACATTTTCGGTGTAAATAGTAAATTTATATGAGTCTTATAGTATGTATGTAACTATAATTAATTTATAAATTATTTTATTTAATGTGCATAATACGGTATTTATCTGGCGAAGTTGTCTAGTACCTAATTTTCTAATTTTGTAATAATTTTGGATAAAATTATTAAATATGAAAGTTTTTAACTATAAATCACTCGATGAGGTTATCACGAAACACTTATTGATATTTACAACTTCTATTTACTATTACTGACACGAATTCTATATAATTGTGATATTGTAACAATCGGGCAAAAATCCAATCACTAGAGATCTTATGGACACTACTTCAGTATTACTTGGCTTTTAGTTTAACACAATAATTATTGTGCATTTATTGAATATTAGGACTTTTGCAATAGTTGGTAAATCTAATACAATTAATTTTCAATAGATCATTAATACAAGTATTGTATGAAATACATTCAATAAACATTTCATTAGAATAAATACAACTTAACATTAGTTGTACAATAACTTTACAGAAATATTAATATTGAATTACAATTTAACAATAATTCAAAACAAATTACAGCAAAACTTTTAATATAACATAAATTTGTTTATAACTAAATTTGCGCTCTTTACAATATGTAGATTATATGTTAAATATAGACAAAACAAATAGAGACAAGACTTGCGTAAAATTAGTCTCTTTGTAACAGATGTGATGAAAAGATTGCAAACATTTTATCATTTCTTGTCATTTATTTTATATATTCTAATAGTTTTCATATAATTTCTAAATTATAATAAAATTTTACAAATATATGTGAAATTATTGAAGGATTTTAAGTAACAGTACACTATTAAAGTGGAATGTTTTATAATGATAGTCTTATATAAAATGTGTTGATCTTGTGTGAAATCATCATGGATATATTAATGCATTTTAATTGCACATGCTGTTAATAATAAAGTTGGTTACACTACTAGCATATGACATTCGGTTTCATACGAAAAATGTGTATTTAATTGTTTTATTAGTTTATAATTAATTAATTTTGCGATTATTTTTACAATAACTATATAAACGAAAATTTTATGATTATATTTACAATCTTAAACATATTCCTTACAGCGAAGACAATATGTATTATTGAATGCAAACACTTTTCATTCATTACATAATACATATCCAATTGAATCGGAAATATGGATGAGGAACAGCTTATTAAGAAGCCATCTAGATGGGACAAGGTCAATATTATCAACAAAGCTTATTGCATGTAAGTTTAATATATTTTAATATGATATGAATATGACATAAAAACATAGTAATATTTGTATTTGAATCTATCTGAATGACCGGAACCATAGATGGATTTACTCGATGTTCATACGGGGTCTTAAAAAGGAGGTCGGAATCAATGATTTATATAAGTGCCCCAAATCTGATGAATCCGAGAAACTTGTGATGACTTTAGAAAAGTTGGTTTTCATTAGTTATAAGATATACACTATTTTATAACACATTTATATTATTGTATAATATTATAAGGAATTGGGATAAAGAGATGAAGAAAAAGAGTCCCAGTTTTATAAGAGCTAACCTCAACACATTCACACTGCAAATGTTGCCTCCGTTTCTGCTATATTTCTTTGAGGTATTTTTTATTTCTATTAATAAATTTAAACACATGTGTATATTTGAAAGTCTTGGAAACAAAAACATAATAACTAATTATATAATATACAGGAATGTTTCCTGAAGAACGCTCAGCCCCTGATGTTAGGCATTGTTATCCGCTATTTCAACAAGAATTCCGATGTTTCGTATAACAAGGCGTGTTTGTGTGCGGCCGGAGTGGTCGGCGCGTCACTCCTGTACACCATATGTCATCATCCGGCGTGTCTTTTAGCGGTCAGAGTGGCCACTAAACTGCGGGTCACGTGGTGTACGATTATGTATAAAAAGGTAATTTAGTTCACAATTAAACCAATTGTCAATTTTTATTGCTATTCATTAAATTAAAATGCATTTCCCCAATCGTAAGGCCATTAGACTAAAACCGTCGGCGTTTGGAAAGACAACTGTCGGTCAGATATTGAATCTAATGTCAAACGACGTGAGCAGATTTGACGAGGTATGTATACAATAATTAATCACATGCATAATAACAAATATTAACTAAATCCAAACGTTAATTGGACCTGGATGATTATTTCACTCAATGATGATGACTGGTTGGCGTCTATTATCCCATAGTTTTGTATAATCGTGTCGTATATGTTTGTGGCGCCGATTCAGTCCATAATAGGATTGTATATCTGTTACACTTATATTGGATGGGTTTGCTTTATAGGACTCGCGATACTATTATTATTTATCCCGTTTAATAGTCTTATCGGACGACTATTTTTGAAAATTAGGTTCAAATATATAAATACATAAATTGATCAAATGATTGCTATTTGTCTAACAAAACTCATTGTGAAAATCATTTGCTTTGCAATCTATCAGAACAAAAGTGGCCGTACTTTCAGATAATAGGATCCGTTTAATGAATGAAATAATCAAAGGGATGGCAGTTATAAAGATGTACGCCTGGGAGAGACACTTCTCCCGCATGATCTCAGAGGCCAGGAGGGAAGACACTACTCTCCTATTGAATCACGTATTGATTATTGTGTTTCAATTGATAGGAAAGAGATGGCAAAAATAAAACAGGCGACACTTCTCCGGGCCCTCAATATATCCATATCGATAATCTCCGCGCGAGTCATACTCTTTACGATATTCATTGTGTATGTCTTCCGCGGCAATCACTTGGAGGCAGAAGTGGTTTTCGTAACGATGTCTATATTCAATACACTCCGACACACAATGACATGGCTTTTCCCAAATTCAATAGCATTGGCCGCCGAGATATACGTGTCGTGCGGACGCGTACAGGTCTGGCCACTAATGCGTGTGTTTGTTATATTCAGTATTTTATCCCCATTTTTACCTTTTCTAGAGATTTTTATTGTTGGATGAGATCGAAGACAAACCAATTGAAGACAATAAAGAGGGTATAAATAGAAAGAAAGAAAAGCTTAATAAAAAAGAATCGATGCAAAAGAATGGCATTAATATTATCGTTGAAAAAGTGCCCCCAAATGGAGGCGAAGATATAAATACCACTATTATTGTCGACGAAATGTCTGCCAAATGGACTTCTGTGAGAAAACTGTCTTTTATTTGATTTTAATAATAATTGTTTGTATCAAATGGTAAGGAATCGGAAAGCGATACTTTGAAAAACATAACGTTAAGTTTGAAACCGGGAGAACTGTTGGCAGTCATCGGACCGGTAGGCTCTGGAAAGGTATGTTATTTGTCATAAAATTTGAATTTTGTAATGATTTTATATCTAACAAAAATAATTTACACAAAGAGCTCATTCCTGATGTCTTTGATGAACGAGATTGAGGTGACGTCGGGATCGGTAGAAGTGAAGGGGAGTATAGCGTATGCCTCTCAGGAGAGCTGGTCTTTCAATTCAAGTATTTTGCAAAACATAATGTTTGGAAAGACTTACGACTCGAAGAAATTCCGAGAAGTGATAAATGTTTGCGCAATGAATAGAGACTTAAAACTGTTTCCCTTCGGAGAGAAAACATTAGTCGGAGAGAGAGGGGTGTCGTTGAGTGGCGGACAGAAGGCCAGGATTACATTAGCTCGGTCAGTTTATATTATTTACAATTTATTAATGTTAATTAATGTAAGTTTTTTCATTTAATTATTATATAAATGTATTTTCAGTGCCCTCTATAATGACGCCGATATCTACCTATTGGACGACCCATTAAGTGCCGTCGACTCCGAAGTTGCGAAACATATTTTTGAAAAGTATAGTAAAATATTTTCTGAAATTAATTCATCGATTGATATCATTATTAAAATAGTATTAACTCTGTATAACAGATGCATAACTGAATACCTGAAGTCAAAGACAGTAGTTTTAGTCACACATCAAATCCAATTCATTAAAAAGGCCACAAAAATTCTTGTGCTGAATGAGGGCCGACCCCTAGGCTTCGGATCATACGATGATTTAAGTAATTCAGGCATTGATTTCATGTCTTTAATCGAAGAAAAGAAATCAGAAAATGAGAAGAAAAAGGAGGAGAAAAGTGACGAAATATTGATTGCGGAACAGATTATCGCCAGAAAGAGGACTATCAGTACTCTATCGACTAAATCTGAGGTAAGAATACTATAACTTATATGCAATACAAAAGAAATTAAAATACAATATAAATGGTTTCAAAGGCTGACATTCAAATAAGTGAACCAAAATTAGCCGAAGAAAGCAAAGCCTCGGGATCTATTGACTCTAGGGTTTACTGGGATTATGTCAGAGCCGGAGCTGGTATTGCCCTTATGGTTACGGCTTTCGTGTCAACAATTGTCTCTCAGGGACTCTTCCACTACAGCGATATATGGCTAACCGATTGGTATACAAATATTTATACATTTTTATAAATAAAATATAAAATGATTTGTATTTTAGGACTAACGCTGAGGACCAAAGAAACGCAACCGAAGAATACAGTCAAACAAATAATATAATAATATATTCAGTATTAGTGGCGACGACTTTCATAACACTAATCATACGGTCGGGAACTTTCTTCATGATGTGTATCATAGCGTCAGTCAATCTTCACAACAGAATATTCTTTAAACTAATGAGAGCTCCGATCGGTTTCTTTGACAACAATCCCGTCGGTATGTATTCATCACTATTTACACAATAATAAAACACATTTTTCATTTATACAAATAACATTTTAATTGTAAATTAAATTTTAGGCCGAATTTTGAATCGGTTTACAAAAGACGTGGGAATAGTTGACGAACAGTTGCCGTTGTGTTCCTATGACTTGAATCTGGTATGAATTTATGATATTTACAATCAGATTTATATTTATTATAATTGATATGTGTTATAGATTATAACGCAAGTGATCGGTACTATAATTGTGGTGGCGTTAGTCAACTGGTATTTAATATTTCCGGCAATTCTTATGGTTTTTCTTATTTTACAAATTCGTTGGATTTATATTAAGACGGGAAGAGATCTGAAGAGATTTGAAAACACAGGTTTGGATTTATTTCATTGAATAAATATGTAATTAAAACCAAATCTGACCAAAATAATAGCCAGAAGTCCAATGTATAACCACATGACTACAACACTCAATGGTTTGGCCACAATCAGGGCATTCAGGGCTCAGGAAATGTTTAAACAGCAGTACTTCAGGTACCAGAACGACCACACGGCCACATATGTCATGTGCTACTGTGCCTCCAGAGCTCTCGGTATAACTCATTGGTGTATTATATTTTAATATAAACTTAATATTATTATTATTGACAGGAATAATGATGGACTGGGTTTGTATGATCTATATATTCTGTGTGGCATTATTTCTAATGGTAATACCTGGAGGTAATTATTCTTCGCATATTATCAATATTTAATTACAATTATATATAACTTTATATTAAGTTTATTTAATGTGAATAATTTTTATTGTTAGACACACTCGGAGGCAGCGCTGGTCTGGCGTTTACGATGGCATTGGGCTTAACGGGAATGACTCAGTGGGGAGTCAGACAATCGGCTGAAGTCGAGAATCAGATGACTTCTGTGGAGAGGATTCTCGAGTATTCAAAGCTTGAATCGGAAGCAGAACTCGAAAGCGTCACAAAACCAGCGCTCGATTGGCCACAAGAGGGACACATCCAACTCAAAGACGTTTACCTCACTTATGAAAACTCTCCNCGATTGGCCACAAGAGGGACACATCCAACTCAAAGACGTTTACCTCACTTATGAAAACTCTCCGAAACCGACACTAATTGGTCTGAATTGTGTGATAAGAGGCGGAGAGAAAGTGGGAGTCGTTGGCCGAACGGGTGCCGGAAAGAGCTCTATATTGTCCGCACTCTTCCGTATGCATGAATGCGAAGGCAATATCATTATCGATGGCATTGACTGCAAGAGTATAGGTCTTCACGATTTGCGCAAAAAGATGTCAATTATACCTCAGGATCCGATCGCTTTCATTGGCTCTTTGCGCAAGAATTTGGACCCATTTGATGAGCACTCGGAGGACAAGTTGTGGGATGTGTTAGAAGAGGTTCAGCTGAAAGAGGCTGTGAATGAAATGCCCGGACGTCTGGACTACCAGTTGTCGGAAAGTGGGGGTAATCTGAGTGTCGGTCAAAGACAACTGATATGTTTGGCGAGAGCTATACTCAAACGAAACCGTATACTAGTGTTAGACGAGGCGACCGCTAATGTGGACCATAAGACGGATTCACTGATTCAACGGACTATTAGAGAAAACTTTGCCGATTGTACTGTCATTACAATAGCCCACAGACTAAACACAATCATAGATTCGGATCGAGTGTTGGTTTTAGACGCCGGAAGGATCATAGAGTTCGACAGACCTTTCATTCTCCTGCAGAACAACACCGGAATGTTCTATAAGTTAGTCAAACAAACGGGTCTTTCAATGGCTAACGATCTGATGAGAGCCGCCAAAGAGGCATACGATTTGAAACCCAATCATTCAGTCGAAGACAGTATTAAAGACAATATCAGAATTGAATGAAGAATTTATAGCCATTTTCATAGATATAACTTTATTTGAAAATTTATTAAAATGTATTTCAATTCACATATTGTGAATCAAATATCTATTTAGTTATTATATATTTTTTAAATATATTTATAATATATAATAAAATCTATTACAATCTAACTTTAAATCCATTTGACCTCATAATATGAATGTTATATTTAATGTAAAACACAACTAAATATTTAAGTTAATAAATAAGTTATAGTTTTATAGCTATTTTCTACGAGAGAAAGTTTATAACAATAGTGTATTTAAAAAAAACCATTGCATTACTTTTGTAATTCATTTTGCATTTTACTTTTCATCCAATCCATGAACAAAATCTGCATCACTTTATCGCTTCTAATCCTTTTCATAGCTCTCATAGTCTGCTCTTCGCTCATAACCGCCATTTGCATTACTTTTGTAATTCATTTTGCATTTTACTTTTCATCCAATCCATGAACAAAATCTGCATCACTTTATCGCTTCTAATCCTTTTCATAGCTCTCATAGTCTGCTCTTCGCTCATAACCGCCAGATCTGATCGCTTAAAACAGGGCTGACTTTCCTTCACTCTAACCATTGAGAAGTTGTCCGATCCGTCCATACGTTTGCCAAAACGCGGCGGCTTTCGGATCGGACTGTCGTTACAGCCGTCAAAACTGGCCAAACATGGATACGCTATCAGACATATCAGTATCAGATCAAACNACTTTCCTTCACTCTAACCATTGAGAAGTTGTCCGATCCGTCCATACGTTTGCCAAAACGCGGCGGCTTTCGGATCGGACTGTCGTTACAGCCGTCAAAACTGGCCAAACATGGATACGCTATCAGACATATCAGTATCAGATCAAACACCAGCGATATGTTTGACATTTTGGACAATATTAACGTTTCTTTGCAAACAGAAGTTAAAATATTTACAGAATTAAAGGCAAGAATTGTGGCATTTTTGAGGTTCAATTTACCTGTTTATTTACAGTAATACAAATTTAATTACTTTTAAATAAGTTAGTTTTGTTTTATTAAATTAAAAATATAAAATTTATTCAAATTTGCGTACACTTCATAACTTTTATAACTTTTACAAACTTAACAGTAGTCTTACGAATACAATAATAAGTATATCAAACAAATAATCGCAACTTATATATCAAATTTGTATTAAACGTCACTTTTGTTAATATTTAATGCAAATAATTTTTTGATGAATGAAAACAATTGAAAAAATAGTTATAAATAACATAAACCTCACTATAATTTCGATTCTGTGGTTAACTTAACGAGAATGAAACACAGAAAAGGCGTTCAAATGGGTTTATATACCGTTATTTAGGGCTAATAAGTCATAAAAACCAATATATCAATCATAAATGGTTTGTTTGTTTGAATCGATTGGACTAATCATTGACTCAATTATTACATAAATCGGACAAATGAGCGAAATATATATCATTTTTTACATCTACTGTATATTTGTTTTTGGTTTTTTCAATCATAAATGGTTTGTTTGTTTGAATCGATTGGACTAATCATTGACTCAATTATTACATAAATCGGACAAATGAGCGAAATATATATCATTTTTTACATCTACTGTATATTTGTTTTTGGTTTTGTTTTATTAAAAATATTCATTATATTTTCATAAATAACTATTTCGTAAGAGTTGTGTACAAATACATCTGTAAACTCATTTGTTTGCCTTTTAAGCGGATTTCAATTATAAAGATATGGATTTTAGTTAACATTTAGTTGAAAACACTTATTAAACTCGTTGATTAAGTTTATAAATTGTGGTTTTATTGGTAGCAATAACTGTAGTTTACAAGTTGTCGATTACTATTAATGATGAGATAGTATTGCCTTATATTATAAACCAAATACCAAACATTGTGTGATCCGGATCTGTGTCTCACTCTCTCTCCCCACTCCCTCCCACTCACTAAACACTCCTTAAAGCAATTCAATAGACATTACATTAATTTAGTTATCATTTCAATAGATATGCTTATTCTCAATGTGTTTATACTTTCAAATTAAATGCATGTTTAAGTAAACGATACATTATATGCCGATTCAGGAACGCAAGTAATATATGTGTAAAATGATATTAATGTCCAGAAATAACATTATATAAGCATTTAATTATGAGCGATAACATTATCACCAGTACTTCATATGACTTAATATATAAAATATATTTTATATAAATTTATAAATAATAACATAACTTATAGTTTATATCAATAAATTAAACAAGAATTTTGAATAACATTATCAAAATAAATGAAACCAAAAGGGATGGCAAGTGTTGAGCGCTGGCGCCAAATGACTGGCCAAATGTCTTAAAACCAAAAACAAATATACAGTAGATGTAAAAAATGATATATATTTCGCTCATTTGTCCGATTTATGTAATAATTGAGTCAATGATTAGTCCAATCGATTCAAACAAACAAACCATTTATGATTGAAATATTGGTTTTTATGACTTATTAGCCCTAAATAACGGTATATAAACACATTTGAACGCCTTTTCTGTGTTTCATTTTCGTTGAGTTAACCACAGAATCGAAATTATAGTGAGTTTTATGTTATTTATAACTATTTTTGCCAATGGTTTTTATTCATCAAAAAATTATTTTCATTAAATATTAACAAAAGTGACGTTTAATACAAATTTGATATATAAGTTGCGTTTATTTGTTTGATATACTTATTATTGTATTCGTAAGACTACTGTTAAGTTTGTAAAAGTTATATAAGTTATGAAGTGTTCGCAAATTTGAATAAATTTTATATTTAATTTAATAAAACAAGACTAACTTATTTAAAACTAAATTTAAAAGTAATAGTAAATTTGTATTACTGTAAATAAACAGGTAAATTGAAACTTAGAAATGTCACAATTCTTGCCTTTAATTCTGTAAATATTTTTACTTATGTTCGCAAAGAAACTCAAAAATGTCAAACATATCGCTGGCGTTTGATCTGATACTGATATGTCTGATAGCGTATCCATGTTTGGCCAGTTTTGACGGCTGTAACGACAGTCCGATCCGAAAGCCGCCGCGTTTTGGCAAACGTATGGACGGATCGGACAACTTCTCA